TCCATTGCCGCCGCGGAAAATGAACAAAAAATGGGGGAAATGTAGCACTCATTTTTTATATTTTTGTGAAATATCTCTGTCCATAGATGGCTCTGCTAGTCCTGATTTCACCTTTCCTTGAAATGGCGGGCAAAAACGTATTTTTACTAGTGCTATAAATATAGATGGTGTTATTTTTAACAGCAAATTAGGATAACGTTAAACATTTTCGTAAATCGATGAAAAGGGTGAACGGGCGAGACATGCAGTTCTTGTAATTGGCTCATTGGATACTTAGTACAAATGTAGCCATCTATGTGTAAAAACAATCGAACAAGTCGACTCACAGTGGGCATGGCATGTACGTACATGCCATCCCCGGCGGCAATGGGTTAATTGCTTTTGGATGATCATTTTGTAATATTTTATGTGGATCTTAGAAATATTTAACTTCCCTGTATCCTTCAGAATTTGGCAGATATATTTGACATAACCTCTGAGCAATCGACGGCAAGACCTGGATGTGTGATAGAACTTGATGCAATTGGTGATGCGACAAATGACTGGCAGAACACACAGTTCCTCCATGTGTTCCAAGAGGGACTCATAAGGGGAGAATTAGGAGCCGAAAGTGGTAAGTGACTTCAGATTTGCGTCCCTTTTTATATATATTGAAATGGCTCACCGTGCTTTGGCACGCCGCCGGCTCGTTTGGCTGCACGCCAGCTTTCAAGCACTTTGTTTACACGCTGATCGGCGTCACCCAGCACCAAGGGGTTAATAGTTTTGCATTGTATGAAATGTAACTGATGTTTCAATAGAATCTCCAATAAAACTATATAATTCTGATGAAGATTTAATATAAATGAACCAGTTACTTTAGTGTTGTAAAGTAATTCACTTGTTTATAACCTTTTTGGCATTTGTCTTAATGAATTTAGTACATTAGTTTTAAGACTGTTATGATACTATCTTTTATAATCTTGCTAAATATCCTACTTCTTATTTATCAGCATTAATTGATTTTTTTTTCTTTTCCTTTTTTTGCTATATTTCATATAGGTAAAGATACAACCACAATGTTTGATCCAATTCATGCCCCTATTGTGGACCTGCATTCTACAGCTGTCTTTGAAGAGCCTTTCTACATCACACTGTTGGAGAAGACAGCTGCAGGCTCAGTATGATCACCTGGCTTTTCATTTTAACCTTTTCAGTGTTTTTTGTAAATGTTCTTAATTTTTATTATGGTTATTGTTGAGTATATAACTCTTTAGGAGGATTCAAGTTTATAGAGCACTCATTCTAAGTAATGCTATATTTTGCTGCTATCAACGTATTTATCTTAAAGGTGATGCATATGTGGAGACTGGTGATTGCGTCCGAAAGCCACGGTCAAGAAAGGATGGAAGACGAAGGCCACATTCCTTCTGGCCGCAGCACCCCTGTGGTCGATAACATGGCTGGGCAGAACAGTGTTGATGCCTCCCCTATTGTTATTTCTACAACTAAGGTCAGACACATGAATATTGTGTAAAAAATAAGTGCAATTACTTATTATTGATTTCTTCTGATATTGTTGCAACTAGCCTCTCCTTTCTCTTCTTCCTTCACCACCTCATCTAGATCTTCTCTCTCTCTCTCTCTCTCTCTCTCTCTCTCTCTCTCTCTCTCTCTCTCTCTCTCTCTCTCTCTCTCTCTCTCTCTCTCTCTCTCTCTCTCTCGCTCTCTCTCGCTCTCTCGCTCTCTCGCTCTCTCGCTCTCTCGCTCTCTCGCTCTCTCTCTCTCTCTCTCTCTCTCTCTCTCTCTCTCTCTCTCTCTCTCTCTCTCTCTCTCTCTCTCTCTCTCTCTCTCTCTCTCTCTCTCTCTCTCTCCTTTTTTTTTGTGTGTCTGTGTCAGTGTCTATCTGTCTCTTCCCTATAATTTACCTGTATACTGTTTAAAATTCTTTTCTCTTCATTCAATAAAAAGGAAGCTCATGTTCATGTTATTAAAACTAACCTAATTGTTTTGAGTAAATCTTGTAATAATACTTTATATTTGTAAAACTGAATACTGTATCACACTGTATTGTCTTTAGGTACTGTGGTATTTGATACTCTTCACGTATTTTAAGGGGGGGGTTGAAATTAAAAAATATATATATTGCAATAAAATCCTCCGAAAGGGTGAGTAGTTGAAGATTCATCATGAGAAGTATCTTTACATAATCCTGAATAATAATGGAGATATAATAGGCTTATGTACCCACATGCCTCCTCCTGTCATCCATACACACCTTGTATACTCAAACAATAATCAGTAATAGCGTGTTTTCACGGAAAAATAAACTAAATGTGTGTATAATCAGAACTCGGAATGTAGTAGTATTTAGCTTATATGATAATGCATATTTAGACTAATTGGAGTCATGCAGTGACTTCTATGTTAAGGTAAAAGAACAAAAATCTTTGATATCTCAATTCTCAAAAATTTGTTTTCACCTCTGTTATTATTCAACAAAATTCCTTGAAAGAGGTCTCATTGAATAGAGTGGACAGTGCTATAGTGTCTATTTTCAAAATGGTTGAAATTAAAAAGAAAGACACTAATGTTTAACATTGAAGCTATATAGAAATGTGAGCAAAATTTAAGAAAAGAAAAAAATTAAGAAATAAGTCCAATTCAAGAGATGTTGATAATAGAATGCGAAGGTCATTGTCTAAAATTTGTGAAAATTTGTTATGAATGAAATTGAATGATATTTTTTCTTTTTATTGCCAATTGAAAAAAATAAGTAAAATCAAATTGCTTCAAATTTTGAGAGAATGTACACTGCATAGAGGTTAATACCATAATAGAAGAATGAAAAATATCCACTCATAATTAACAAAATTGGATATCAACCTTAAGCCCCTCTTAACTGTATGTGAAAGGAATCTTGTTGTAACAGATATTTTTTATTTTCACAGAAAGATTTCTGCCAAAGTTCACCTCTTTTTTATTTCCCCTCTTGCAGATCTACTCTCATGCCCTCCCCTTGCCACATGGAGTGCAGGTAATTCATGCATCCCCTGCAGCGGGACACCTGAGCTCAGCATCTATATACCCAGCCTGTTATGCTCCGTATGTGCTTGTGACAGCCTGCACAGACAACACAGTTAGGTTCTGGAGGTGCAGGATGACAGGTGAAGGAGATGCCATCCAGATACAGTGGGAGGAATGGCGTATGGTCAGCAAAGATGGGAAGAGTGCCATCAAGGTGCCAGGTATGTTAACAAGTTTTCTCTCTTTTTTATGTTGAGGTTATTGAAACACACCTGTGATTTGTTTAGAGTTTGTGTTGCCTAATTTGCTGTAACAGTTTAAATTCTGATACACTATGCTGAAAGTGGATTTTTTTTAGCAATAAACATAACTCAAACATCAATTTGAGTGTTTTCATACATGATACTCTCCAGTTATCTACGTTTCATTACAATACCATTCTGTCCCTGAATGTTTTTATTGTTCTGGTGATATTTGTATTGATATTTCTACCTTATACTTTTGATAAACAAATACTTAATGTTCATTCGTTTGTCATTCATTCAGGTCAACCACTTCATGTAAGTGTGGCATACAGTGGAAGAATTGCTTGTGCATACCAAACTCCAGGGCAGCAGGCGACGGTATCCACTGATGCTGATGGTTCCATAACTTTCTCATGTTCCTTGGCCATCTATGAGTGTGAATCAACAGGAGGTAAATGATGATATAGTTAATGATATTATAGGGCTAGAGTAATGTTGACTGAATTATAAAATTTAGATATTTTAAGATTTTGTTCTCTCCCCTTTTCTTCTCTTGGCTCCCTCTTGCTTAAGAATTTATACATTTTATTTTCTTTACAGGTGCTGAATGGGTATTAGAAGATAAATTTGATCTTCAGGATGTAGTCACACAACCAGGTGACTCAAATTTGTCAGATCTAGACTTGACTTACCTCTCCAAAGTTGCACAAGGCAAATCAACATCACGCTTGACATCAGCTCTAAGTTCTGAAGATATCCCACAAGCATGTCCAACATCACCACAGTTTGCTCATGACCATTTGTCTGCAGAAGCATTACATTCAGTCACTAGTAAGTATGTCTGATGTTTGTTGTTTGCATTTACTTGCTCTTTATATGCTTTTATTAGAACATGGTATAATTCATGAGGCCTTGTAAAGTATGTACTCTCAAGACTTCTGTTCCTTAACAGGTCAGCTCTTGGTCCCTAGTCCAAGCACCTTACATTCCCTTCGCAATCACCGATTTGATAAGAGAGGTGTAAATGTGAAGCAAAAGCATCCAGTGCAGATTGACTGGGTCTCACAGGAGGATGGATCTCACCTTCTTACTGTGGCTATTGGGAGTAAGGTAAGTCTTGTTCAGAGATTATCAAAGGTGAATTGATTGTGATGGGAAAAACCATGATAGATATTTAAATGTCTTGAGGAAACTGTAGGCTTGTTAATTGCCTGAGACTTCACATGTCTAAGTGTATTTCATATTACTTTGTGCATTTTATTTCAGATCTTGATTTATACAAGTGTTGCTGATGAGATTGCCCTGATGAACTGTAGTGAAGGAAATAAAGACAAAGAAGGACGGCCAAGACCTGTGCTGCAGAAATCCATATCAGTCCATAAACTTAGTGACACAAAACTGCCAAGGTAAGCTCAGATATGCTTTTAGTCAGTCTGTAGTTAGAAAACTTTGAAATATGCTTGTGTTTACTGCATTCATAACATTTTATCAGAGTGCTTGAAAGTGAGAAAGAAATAGTCTATTTAAGGAAAATTAAAATAGAGACAGAAAAGGAAACTACAGGATGATGTAAATTTGTTATACTTTTCAGGTGGATGCGCTTAGAAAAATTAGGCTTGTCCACCGCAGATGGTCTTGCACCACTGCCAATGCAAGTGTCTTGGGTGCGTGATGGCATCCTGGTTGTGGGAATGGATAATGAAATGCATGTCTACTCACAGTGGCATGTTCCAGGTAATTATGTTCTGC